TGTGAGAGAGCGAGACAGAGAGCGCGCGTGTGTGGGAAAGGGTTGGGCGTGCGGTGAGAATGGGTCAGCGGACTGTACCGCACAGCCGCGCTGCTCATTGGTTGCTAATATAGTTTGAATCGTCCGCAATCAGGCGCCATTGTGGCTACCGGAAAGAGCCGAGCCGCCCGAGCCAACATACCGAAGAACAATTAAAGGGTTGAATGGGAGGGGGAAGGAGAGAGAGAGAGGAAGGATCAGTCCTCTGTCACAACAGCCAAAAGCAGAACGGCCACGATCCGAGCTAGCTCGCACACACACACGCAGGGGTTCAAATGTCCTGGAATTGGGCGCGTTTAAGGTGGCTTGGCGCTGGACGCGTTTACAATTTATTGTTGTTATTCGAACGAACGATCGAGCTGTCCTTTGGCACGCTGACGTTTTAATCGTCCCATTTGAACCGAGAAACAAAAACGCCCACACAAACACACGCGTGTGCTCTAGTGCGTCGCTGGATCAACAACTAAAGACGGCAGGAAGCTGACAATACGACAAGGTTGAGGGAGGGGGCAGGGGGCGAGAGGTATGAGAAATCGTTATGGTCATAGTCGTACACACTCTAATCACTTATGCATTTTGTTGTGCATAAGCATTACGGCGTGCGTGCAGCCATTAGTATACCAGGTGGCTGATTCACGCCGCGCACTTTCGTAGTTATACTGTACCGCATGCACAGGTGCGATCGGGTTTGCCTATACTCGCTGCCCACGGCTCCTTATGGCCCCGTGCGAGTAGGCAACCCGCCCGCCTGGTATGTATACAGCAATATGCGCAATTTTTATACATACTTACGTGCAAATTGCACATGACTATGCACAAATTGTTCATAATTATGCATGAAATTGTGCATAGAATTATGACTGCACGCCATAGTTCATGGTCCTATGCACAACAAAGTGCATAAGGGTTTTAGAGTATAGCAAATGCCTCATGGCACGTTTTGAAACAACCGCATCACATTTTCTTCTCGAAACACCCTTCTTGTCCAGAGATTCAGAAGAACATCGCATCGGGCCGGATTAAACATATGTATTGCTCCTTTGAATTGGCCAGTTTCAAGCAATCGTGTTGAAGTAGGCGATGTTGGCAGCCGGTGTTGGCAACTCCGTTGGCGGCAGTTGGCAGCCCTGAGGCGTGACGTGAATGCCCTTCTCACTCGGCCTCTTGTCGCGAAGGGGGTGGGGTGGGGGCGTGCTCCCACTGGACCCAGCAGAGGAGGCTGCGCTCCTGATCCGTATCTCGCATCTCGCCTCAGGTGTGAGGGAGCTGACGCGGAGCTGTCACCCCCGACACTCCGGGCCAAGCAGCACTCAATGAGATGCCACTGAGTAGAGAATTATTCGCACTCTTCACCAAGAATGAGTAGTCGTACACCTACCGCACTGATCGATCCTAAACTTAAAACATACAATATCAATTGT